TCATTAAAATTGGAGCTAAAATAACCGTTAAATTGTGATTTTTCGTTTATAACCGTTGAAAACTTTTGTTCCGTTACGTAATCTCTAAATGTTTTTTTTTTACGATTTTTTACATATGCAATCTCGGATTGTGTACAAATAAGTTTGACGGTTAGATCGTTGAAAAAAGTTTCATAGAATGCATATCGTGTCAAAATGGTAGATTAAACAAACACTTAGAGTTAATATTATACTTTCATTAAGTATAAAATAAGATTTTGTGGTATCCACAAGTGCAAATATTTTAAATTGAAGATCAAATTCGTTCATTGCATTCTTATAGGGTCGATGAGTGTAGCTGTAAAAAAATCATTAAAACCGGAGCTAAAATAAACGTTAAATTGTGATTTTTTGTTTATAATCGTTGAAAACTTTTGTTCCGTTACCTAATCTATGAATTTTTCTTTTTTTTTTTGTGATTTTTTACATATGTGATCTTGTAGTATCTACAAACAAGTTTGACGGTTAGATCATGGAAACTAGTTTTGTAGAATGCATATCTCCGTTAAATTTGCCTAAATTTTGAAGTGGGAAAAGTAATTTGTGCTAAATTTTTATTTATGTTTTTCAAGTATTGATTAGACAATATTTAGTTTGTGTGATGACATTTTCATTGTACAATTATCTTTTTGTTTCTTTATTGTATATTTTACATGGGTTATTATCTATTAAACCAAACAATTATTTATTCTTTTTGTTTCTTTATTGCATATTTTACATGAGTTATTATCTATTAAACCAAACAATTATTTATTTAATTTTTAAAAACGTATTCTATTTAAATACATGTTATTTATTAAACCAAACAATTATTATTTTATTTTTTAAACTTGTAACAAACTTTTGGGGGGATTTTTGTTGCCATTTTTTCTGTCGGTTGTAACCGACAGTAATGAAAATTTTCTGTCGTGTTTATTTTAAAAAAATGTTTTTGTCATTTTTAACCGACAATAATGAAAATTTTTCAAAATAAAACCCCTCAATCTCTTCCTTGCGCCGGTGCCTTCTCCCTTCCCCCTTCCTTCCCCCTTTTCTCCTCTCCGCATTTCCTTCTCCTTCTCTTCTCCCCTTCTCCTTCTCGCTTTAATCACCATGGATGAACAAGGCAGAAGCTATGCAAGCCCTTGAGCACAGAGACAAGCAAAGCGCTGTAAGTCCTTCCACATACTTCCACGTATGATTTAATTTATGTTTTTGTTGGATATGAATAATTCATATTTTGGAAGATATTAGTAAAGGCTCCATCTTATTGGGATTTCATAGATATTTAGGGATTTATTTGTTCATTATAGTCCTTTTTTCAAAAGATATTTAGGGATTTTATAGTTAAATTGCTTATATATAATGTTATAAATACCCAAAAAAAATTGTATTTGCGTGAAAAAAAAATGTATTGAAGAAATATATGGATTTCAAATGATCCATTTATCAAATTCGTAACTTTATCATTTGACATTAAATTATTTAATTTTTTTTTTCAAATGTCACTTACTACTATGGTTTAGTTGTATGATTCTCTATTTGCAAGTGAAAGATCTTAGATTCGAATATTGTAAGTAGTAAGTTCATAACCGACGAGTTTTGTTCTACTAATTATGACTAGCTCATTGTGTGGCTATACCCAAATCTCATCACCTTTGTGTTTTATTTCAAAAAAAATTTATTAGTAGTTAATCAGGTTCAAATTAATAATAAAATAAATAAATTTTGGGGGGGACTCTGTAGAATAGATTGACTGAATCGGTCATTATTCTTGATCGTAACCAACGAGTTTTATTCTTGAAAGTGGTTTTTTTTATTTATTATTAATATATTTTCTGTCGGTTTTATCCGACAGAGAATGCTCTTATTTATTCATTATTAATAAATTCTCTATCGGTTATATCCGACACAAGTTCTATCGGTTTTAGAGTATTTTCTGTCGGTTTTATTAGATAGAGAATGCTCTTATTGATTCATTATTAATATATTTTCTGTCGGTTATATCCGACACAATTTCTGTCGGAAAATTCATTTCTTGACATTGGCAATTTTGTTGCTTATTATATCCGTCATTGCATCTATTTTCTATCGGATTTTGCTTAATATCCGACAGTAATATACGTTTCTTGTCGGTTACTATAGCGACACTAATAAATGGTTCCATAGTAGTGCAAATACAATAAATCCTTCCCTACACATATAATCCATATAGGATCTGGTATATCATTCACAACCACGTTGGCGGGTTCCCTAATTAACATCTGTAGTTCTATTATTGTAAGGACTACCACTATTGGAATTAATAGCATAGAAAATCCCATCACTTAACCCATCATAGTATCTAACCCGAAAGTAAAATAGGTTATTCTTATCACTTTAATCACTTATGAGAAGACGTCTTGGACTTGCAGAGAAAACACAAACACGAGGACAAGGGTTGGTGAAAGCTCTTCTATGCACCACTGCTCCTTGATCACGAACTGAGGGGGAGTTCTAGGTTTTGTGATGGTGTTAGCACTATGCACATGGACCTCCACCTTATATATAGTGCTCAATGCTTTTAGAATCCTACCCACAAACGTATTCAAGAAACCCTAATAAGCCTATAACTAGAATACTAAAGCCCATAAGATTACTTTCATTACAAGAATCCCTTATTGCCTGAGTAATTAAATCGGTCATCACTACTACTGAAGCACAAGGAATAGCTCACCAAATAGAACTCCAGCTCTAATGTTTCTTGGATATAACTATGCAAACCAATTAGGGTTGAACTTTTGAGTTTAAATCCAACATATTCAACATCCCAAGTATAATATACACAGTAAAATTTCCATTCTTTCTTACACATAATTAAATATATATTGAGTAGAATCACGTTTATACATTCAAACTAAGTGAAGGTTGATAGGATTTAAGGTCGTTCTCCACATGGACTGTTAAAACAATTTATAATAAAATCAAATCTTAATTAATTAATTAAAGCAAAGTTTTTGAAAAGGTTAATTTTAAGACCTAAAATAAGAAAGATGAATTTAACTAAAAATATTAAAGAAATCGGCAACAACAAAGAAACATAAAAGAATTTAAGAATCAAGTTGTAAACTAGGTTTTTGCCGCCACCTTAACAATTCTACGTAATTCTACCAATTACTTATGACTTATACATGCATATTTTGAAGGTTAAGTTTTTAGAAAACTTCATTTTAATCCTTAAAAAATATGAGTTTTAGACTATAACCGTGTGTAAGATTAAAATCCAATTTTAGTCATCTCATTTATTAGTTATATTTGATGTGTATTTTATCTTGTTATTCCTATTTTAATGTATTAATTACATTTAGATTTAATTTTTATTATTTCCCTTGTTTTATTTGCCTGGGATGCAACGTTGACTGTGCACCCGTTACACCTTTTGCATGGGGATCAGCTTCCATTCTAGTTAATGGTTCTAACATTAGGGGGAGTTTTTGTTGCTTCCTTTAAAAATGACAATGTCATACCTCATCTTACGATTTTGTTCCAATGTCAAACCTCCATTAGTTTTTCTGTTAATTTCTCTGTTAAATGCTGACGTGGCTAGAGACGGGACCCACTAACTAATCCAACTGGATTAAAAAATAACAAAATATATTTTTAATAATTAAATATTAAAAAAATAAAAATAAATAAAAATTAAAAAATAAACAAATAAAAAATGGCCTAGGATGCAGGCCTAACCTTTCCTCCACTCGCACCAACCCTTTTTCTTCTTCTCTTCGACAGCTCACCCATCCCTCCAAATGCGATGGCCGATCAAAGCTCCGACGACCCAATCGCTAACTACAGCGAAACGCAGCGCATCGTCCTCCTCCTAGAACTCAACCCACTTCTCCACCTCCAAAACGCAACTCCATTTCTCACCACCCTCCTTTCGGCCATCAAAACCCTTATCTCCTTCCCACCTCTCTCATCCGCTCTCTTCGCCTTCAGACCCTTTTTCTCCTCCCTCTCTCCGCTGCTCTCCTCTTCCAAGATCCCCACCTCCCTCCCCCTATCTTTCCACCTCCCAAGCCCATCTTTCAACTCTCCCCCCCCAAACCCTCAATCCTTCCCCGCATTTCGCCACGACCCATTGTTGCCACCCCGGGCTTCTAACCTTGTTGCCTCCTTGTGTTAGCTCGTGCACGATTACGATTGGGACCCCGTGGTCTGCAATCCGGTAACATGTATGTTTTCAAATTGTGATTCGATTGCTGTCAGGTCCAATTTGGTTGTTCTGTTTTCGCTCCCTTTTGGACAACCTGCAATCTACATCCCAAAACCCAAAATCCCATTACAAATTGGAGAGAGAGGGTGGTGAGTTGGTGGTTTGGTGGAGTAGAAAGAGTGTGAGAGAGAAAGACTAACAAGAGGGATAGAGAAAGATGGCGAGTTGGTGGACTCTAGCCTTGATGCCGGTGGTTGCAAAGAGAAGAGAGAGTTAGAGTGAGAGAGAGATGCGGGAGAAGATATAGAGAAGAGAGAGTGTCCAAGAGAGTGGGGGGATGAGTGAGACGTGGCACGACAGGAGAGATAGAGAGGAGAGAGAGGGTGATGGAGGAAGGTTGGGGGGACGGGTGGGGAAGAGTTTGGTGGCTACCGAAGGGAAAAAGAAAAAGGGTTGGTGTGGGTGGACGAAAAGGAAGGCCCGCATCCCTAGGACATTTTTTATTTGTTTAGTTTTTTAATTTTTTAATATTGTATTATTAAAAATATATTTTGTTATTTTTTAATCCAGTTGGATTAGTGAGTGAGCCCCTTCTCTAGCCACGTCATCATTTAACAGAGAAATTAACAGAAAAACTGACAGAGGTTTGACATTGGAGCAAATTCGTAAGATGAGATATGACATTGTCATTTTTAAAAGATAAGGTATGATAGTGTCGTTCGACCCATAGTTGAGGTAGTTTCGTGTAATTTACCAAAAAGTGAATATAGGACTTCTTTGAATCCCCGAATTCTTAACAATCATGAACTGAATACTTATTCGAACTGTTACAATTGTCAAGTTTCCCACATTAATTTCTCAAGAAAATTGAAAAAAAAGGGATACAATTAATATCCATGTGATTTTAAACACAACCAACCAAAATCAGCTGACGGTCTGAAAGTAATATGTGAACAAGTTATACATATATTTGAACAAGATGACGAGGGTTTTGCACTCAAAAGAACAAAAATGAAGTTTCCCCGTCACTCTGAAAGGCAAGAGAAGAGATGTAGCGCAAAACATTTTTAAGATTCCTCAGGTGGCTGGTCAGTCTGGTCCTTAGGTTCTGTTTCTGGTTCTGGTTCTGGTTGTGCCTCCTTGGGGGCGGCGCTGGCAGCGGCAGCTGCCTCCTCAGTTGCTTCGGCAGATGTGGCATTTTTCCTATTTGCAGCAGCCTGGAGGACATGGCTGTAGTTCCCTTTCTCTAGGAAGAGCTGAGAAAAATGGTGCTTGCAGTAAAGGACTCCATCAAGAGCTGCATACGATGAATGTGTAAGGGCACAGCCCCCATGAGCACACCTGAAGCATGACTTGTGGTAACTTTCTCCCTCCAATGTCACCTGTTTAAATTACCATCACAAATCCATAAGTCTTACCTTTCACGTCTAACGTTAGTGTACAAGTTTTGTTTTTTTTTATTTCAATGAGTTACGTTTGTTTTTGTGTCGGATTGTGGATTTACAGAAAAAAAGGAATGGTTCCTCGTATGTAAGAAGTCAAGTAGTGTCTATTAATATTTATGTATCTGCTAGCTATCCAACATGATCATAAACTTGGTAACTGCTCATATGCAATCTTGGAAAATGTTATATTTTTCAATGGCTCGTTGAAATTAAATTGGCTATATAGAACAATGTGTTCCACCCACTGCACCCTAGTTTGAATCCCCTCTCCGTAATTTATATGAATTTTAATGGAATAGAACTATAGTTTGTCAAAGAAAAAAAAAAGGCTCATTGAAATCAAATTAATCCCCTGAATTATATTACTCACCTTCTCCAGCGGATAGACTGTCTTTGAGCAAGTTGCACACTTGTCTTGGGTTCCAGAAAACAAGGCAGAGAGCTTGCTGGGGACCCTATTCTGTAGAACATCATCACAGTTCAGTTGTTTACAGTACTGCATTTTAAGAGCAAATATATCTATATATATGTATGCATGTATGTATGTATGTATGTATGTATGTACATATATATATATATATATATATGTGTATGTACATATATATAGAGAGTTTTGATCACTTGGTCCCCGTTGATCAGATCACGAAATTCCTTAGGCGGAAATCACTCGATCAGAATCCAGTGGTTGACATTATATCCAAAATGTAAAATCAGAATTTCAACCTTATTTGAATGTGACAATTTATTCATACCAGTTGTTCACCCTGCTTCTCAGCAGATTTTGCTGCAAAAATTCATTAGAAAACAAAATACTATTAGCAAACAGAAGGGAAACAAAGAGAAAAAGTAGTTGCTTAGTGCTGCAGAATAATTATAAAATATAATAATTAAAGCTAGGAAAAAAAATGTCTCACCGAAATTCTTACTGAAATTCCCAGATTCCTTGAAAAGTTGCTCGAAATGAGGTTTACAGTAGAGGATTCCATCCATGGAGGAATAGGTGCTCATCTGTCAAAATTATGTATGTTTCTTAATCATTTTCATATTTGGAAATATTTAACCAAGTTTTATGGTCTTTCAAATAAATGAAGACTCAATTATAGTTATCAAATTAACTTTGAAATGTTCATGACTCTTTAGCATTGAAATTATGCTAAATTCATCTTTCTTTGTTAGGTCTAACTTCTGAGTCATATATATAACGTGTATACGCAAGTTAAAACAACACATGCATGAGCGATTGTCCACCATTGACATGAGTTTTACAAATCAATCAATGGTTGAGAATCGTCCCCAAAACTGAAGAAAGCTTAGACACATCTGTTGCAAACCTAGACAAAGGTAAAAGGTGAAAAGCGAGAGATGTATGTACCGAGAGAAATCCCTTGCAGTGGCTGCATTTGAAGCAGGATTTATGATAAGGTACTCCTTCAAGGGACAACATTTCAGTTACATAAACAGTCTTATCACAGGCCTTGCATTTATCCAAAGTTCCTGTAAACGCCATTGTTCTCCTTATTCTAACAGATTGAAACAAAAAACCCCGAAAAATTATGCGGTCTTTGTCTTCAACTCAGGTGCCTGAGGGATCAGAGACAAGTTCAACAAGGGGAGCACCGTGCTTGCTACTGTTACCTCAGACAATTCCAAAAGGGGATTGAGTAAAGTTTCTGATCTATCTAAACAAAACCTAATTTATATCAGATTATAATGGATTTTGCAAATGCTGCTAAACGGAGGACAAGTGAATGGAGTAATTTATTGCCCTAATTGTGGAAGTTATCCGACTGGATTGGAGTAAAACAAGGTTGGTGATCTGACCTTTTCAAGAGAAAAAACACATAAAAATTTGAGATAACAAAATGATAACCAAATGTTTAGCTATTTGGTGTTTGGTAGTTATGTTGGTTAAAAATAGTATTTTTCTTAATTGTCCAATGCAGGAAATTGCAAATTTGTTTGGGCCAACCATCTGATTAGTAATGGCAAAAGATAGTGTTCAAGCAATTAGGTGGCCCTGGCCAGAAGAAAAACAACGATTGAATGATAATCTTAGCTGGAAAATATGGGTTGTTTTAAAATTACACTTATTTCCAGAATATAATCAATACAAATAAGTACAAGTCAAAAATTTTCAGCGCCCCATACTAATTGCCTTGATGTTGTTCTCAACTTGTGTATTGTTATTTGGTAGCGCATCAGGTATGAGATTTTATTATAAAATATATGAGTATAATTAGTTGCAAAACCAGTTACCATATGTTGTTTCTTCTTTTGTCAATTTTCCGATATGAAATTGTTTACATTTGTCAAACAGTACATTTGTTGCAGGAAGTTGGATTACATTGACCTTTTCTTTTCCTATAGGGCTATATCTGAATAAAACATAGCTTACAAATCATCAAAACCAGGAATTCTGAGAAGGGTAAATCGCCAAAATGGTCCCTGAGATTTGCATAACTCATCACTTTGGTCCCTAAGATTCCAAATCGATAAAAGTGGTCCCTGAGATTGTCCATCATCCATCATTTTGGTCATTCCGTTAAAAACTCCGTTAAGTGTCCTGGAGCTCTTGGCCGGAAGTTTGAGCAATTTTCAAAGCTTCGTAACTCAATTGTTTCTTAACCAAATTCGACCCATAATATATCAAAATGAAGATAGGAAGGTGTAAAATAAGATTATACCTATTTCAAAGCCCAATGGTTGCCGGAGATTGCCGGAAAATAGCCTCAAAGTTGACTGGTCCGAGTGAAAACTTGAAAACTTGCCGGAAACAGGGTAAACTTTAAACGTTCATAACTTCTTCAATACTCAACGAAATCAAGTGATACAAAAATGAAAATCATACTTCTCAACGAGACAAAGAGAATGGTACCTTTTTTTATGGCTAAATCATCTTGGTTTGGCTGGAAAACAGCTCGAAAGTGGCTGTTTTGGTCTTGAGTTAGCCATTTTCGAGCCATTTTCCGGCCGATTTAGCAATCAAAAAGGTACCATTCTCTTCTTCTTGTCGAGAAGTATGATTTTTTTTTTTTGAATCACTTGATTTCGTTGAGTATTGAAGAAGTTATGAACTTTTAAAGTTTACCTAGTTTCCGGCGAGTTTTCAAGTTTTCACTCGGACCAGTCAACTTTGAGGGAATTTGGTTAATAAACGATTGAGTTACGAAGCTTTGAAAATTGCCCAAACTTTCGGCCAAGAGCTCCAGGACACTTAAACGGAGTTTTTAACGGAATGACCAAAATGATGGATGGTGGACAATCTTAGGGACCACTTTTATCAATGTGGAATCTCAGAGACCAAAGTGATAAGTTAAGCAAATCTCAGGGACCATTTTGACGATTTACCCTTCTGAGAATAAAAATATTTCACATAACAAGAATTACATCATAACTCGCCCCATTAGAGAAAATCATGCTATATGAGTATTTGAACGACCCAACCATGGAGGCAACAAAATTTGCTGGCACAGTATGAGATCTAAGATGGTTTTTTCGTGCCGGTCAATCCTTCTCGAGCAGTTTACACCACTGTCAAGAATGTCTCGAACCACAACGTTTAATGATCGGATTCCCCTAACTTCATAAATTGCGACCTTTACATTTTTTTGGACCTATTTGTCTCTTTCGTTGATGGTATCCATGTCGAGGAACAAAGAGGAGTTTAGGAGGGCCGAGACTACTTGCTTGACCCACTGAGGTGTTACAATCGACTTTAACCTCATTACATATGGAGGAAAATGAGGATGATGGAAAAATTCAAGTCATTTCCTTTGTCTCCAGCCTGGATATGTACTACATCATAGTGTGGAATCTTCCAACCAGATGGAGCATGAGATTTTGCACTTCCAAAAAATCGGTTATCCAAATTTGTAGAAGAATTGATTATGTTACTTTGGTGTGCTTTACTACAGTCTGCAGACTCATAATAAGGGCAGATATTTGTGCCACCTTCAAGTCGGATTCCTAAATTACTTGATTATGTTACTTTGGTGTGCTTTACTATAGTCTGCCAGAGTACGTGTTCACACTTGACCTAAAAGATCAGACAAACTATTTTTTCTGTTGAGATTTAAGCTGCATACTAGCTTGAAATCCAATATAGATGATTACCCTGCAGCTGAAATTGAAGAGAATGTTGAAATCGAAGGAAGTGAAGAACTTACTATTTTTAGAAATAGCCATTAAACTTTAAATTGCGACAACTAGTTTTTCTTTCTTTTTTTAGTAAGTAGTACAACTGGTATTCTTATCCTTTGGAGTTGTACTGTGTCTTTCAATCCTCTCCCAAGTGGAAGGATCGTAGCCTCTGATAGCCTAAATGGCTGGAGATGTGTCCTTGATCCCTAAAATGTAGGATCTGAGCAATTGACTGAGTTAGGGTTTTAACTTTGTAAATGTTCTTCAATTTCATTAAACAATATATGCAGTATTCTCCTCTCCCTGTGTTCTTCACTTTTTTATGACTATTTTCTATCACAAACGTTCAATCTTTATAACTAAATCAACCTATAAACTACAGGCCTGGTACCATTCCAATCAGACAAATTATTTTGTTTTCAGAAGTTCTTCGTGTCTGCCACGTATTCAAAAATATGTCACCATTTTCATTGAGAACCTGATCTTATCAGTCAAAACTATTACAATTTTGGTTGGAATAAATTTTTAAGTTAACTTCAAGGGATGCAATAAGAAAAAAAGATCAACACGAAAAAAAGGGGAAATGGGTCAAAAACTAATGACGACAATACGCTACTTATGGTCAAAGTTTCAAGTTCATCAAATAGGTTGTCAAAGAGAAAACCAAAAGGATTAAGAATTGTGGAGGTGAGGAGAGAACAAGAGAATACCAAATAATTATCAAGGATGATCTCTTTCTTGTGTCTGGTGCTGCATTGATTAAACCAGTATGGTCATGTAACATATGATTTAAAAGGTGCCGAGCCATAAAAACAAGAAAGGCAAAGTTCAGTTTTCTTAAGCAACAAAATGCTAATTTGGGAGGAAAATTTATGGAAAAGCTGATGGGAAAGCTACCTGATACCACCGCCGCCAGTTGGTCCATTTGTATACAAAGCAGTAAACTCTCTAATGAATTGGACTGCATGTTCCTTTAGCTTGAATAACCCGTCCATTGATAGGTTGTAACATGTGCTTAGTGTAAAACAAAATGGTTAGGATTATGACAAGTGTCATATTATGATTAGTTGAGGTAGTGTTAGTTACAAATGTAAGGGATGGTATAAGCTATAAATACCATAAGGATGTATTTATGACAAAGTGAAGAAAGTAATAAGAAAGTGAAGTATTTAAGATATTTGTTTTGAAGCTTTATCTCTCTACATTTCTGGTTTCTTGATTCTTCATTGTTGACATGGTATCTTCGCAGGTCATGGCCGCCGCCATTGATTGATGATCATTTCGCTTCCGCTCACCTATCTGCTTCATGTTGTTGTTGTAGTATTGCTCTTTGCTCGTCGGTCGGTGTGGTTGTGATTCGAGTTGTAGTCGGTGCACAAACCCTAAGATTTGGGGTTTTTTGAAGTTGGTGTTCCCCATCGTTGTTGTTGATTGTCGTCGGTGCGTAAACCCTCAGATTTGGGGATTTTTTAAGTTGGTGTTTCACGTCGTTGTTGTTGATTGTCTCTTCGACAATTGTGAGGTGTTCTTCCTATAACATTCTTTCTGTTGATTGTGACTTTTTGATTCTTGATTTCGATTTCTCGATTTTGAATTCTTGAATTGTTGTTGTGGTTGCCAAGACTGTCTATATCTTGCTTCGTTACTTCTGGAGTTCAGTAGTTGAATTGTTTTCGAAGTGTTTGATTGAATTTGTTAAGATTACTTGGTGTTGAAGTAATTACTCTTTGCATAATGGTCAACCCTATTCGGTTAGCTCTCACACAGTCATCGATTTCATCTCCAATTCCAAGTGTGGGGAATATTGTCACTGTTAAACTTGATGATTCCAATTATGTAACTTGGAGTTTTCAAATAAATTTTCTTTTGGAGGGAAATGGTATAGTTGGATTTGTTAATGGTACAGTTCCATGTCCTGACAAGTTTGAAGACTCATATTCTGCGGATGGTGATGTTAATGACACTGAGTCAATTTCTGATGCTTATAAAATCTGGATGATTCATGATAAGGCCCTAATGACACTCATTGCTGCTACATTATCTCCTTTTGCATTATCATGCATAATTGGATGTTAGAGTTCCAAGGAAATGTGGAATAATCTTCGTGAAAGGTTTGCTAGCATTACTAGAACTAGCATTGTTCAAATGAAGATAGATTTGCAGAATATTAAGAAGGGGCCTGAATCTATAGATAAATATCTTCAAAGAATTAAGGAGTCCAGAGATCAATTGGTTGCTGTGGGAGTATCTATCTCAGATGAGGATATTGCTATAATTGCTCTAAGCGGCTTGCCATCAGAGTACAACACTATCAAAGCAGTGATTTGTGGTCGAGAAAACTTGGTGTCTTTAAAAGAACTTCGATCAAAGTTGAAAGCTGAAGAATCCACTCTAGAGGAAGTTAATAAGCAAATTCCATTCATGGCTGCTATAAATGTTCAGGGTAATGGAAATGTATATGACCAAGGGTCATCATCTGGTACAACATCCACAACTAGAATGCTTGGTTCAAGCAATATTTTTTTATTTCAACCCATGAATATGCCAGGTTTTTCACCAATGTAGCCAGGGTTTTCACCAATG